ACCAAACAGTAAACCCTGAGGATATATCTAGGGAGAGATTGTGTTTCTGTCATCTAGGAACCAGCCTAGCTACATTTAAAGAGTCTTGTCATCCTGGCTTGGGTGTGTTAGCAGCAAAGAGTCTTACCATGAATTCCCCTAAGCCATTGTTTGGGGAATGTTTGAATCAGGAAGCAACTTTATTAACGCCTGGGAAGGGCAGGTTTTCCACCTATGGGGGCACATGTGTCCCACACACAGATGCACACCTTTTTATTCCCTATTTCCGACTCTAATTTCCCTCCCCTGTTTCCCCATTGGCTGGGTATATAGAGGTTACAGCCTATCTGAAGTATCTAATTTCCCCGCCACTTGAGTCTCTGCCCCTAATTACATCTTGCACTCCTCACAATTTGGGAACCTTGGCCCTTACTTGGGAACAGCTTTTCTGATGTTAATCTGTACCTAACCTCAGAATGATTTTAGGCCAGTTAGTTTATTGGCCTAAAAATAATGTTTTCTTATTCTAATTTGTAGCTTCCTTTGTTCCACTTACACCCAACCCTTATGTTGCATTTTTCAGGGCACTTTTGTGGAAATGAAAACTAGCTGCTTCTCACAGACCTCAAATCCAGTTCAAACTGATTTTAACGATCTCCACTGTGCTGTCATGTAGGTGTCCACACCCTGACGAGTGATACGCAGAAGGAACATCCCCAACCACGTTTTCTGCAGGTGGATGAACTTTTAAGCCCAGAAATTCATGCATATCATCTCCTATATCATGGAAGAGTTGTGATAGGATAGTCAGAGATCTGAGCAGTCAGTAAGAGAGAAATTACATAGGGTGGGACAGACAATGACTGGGGAGACAAAGAACAGTAAAAAACAAAACGAAAACAAAACATCATCTTAAGTAATTCACATTCTATTGGGGTGATAACGCAGACATCTATGCATATATAAGATACGTTCAGTGACTTCTGCTAAATTCCCCAAAAATTCCGTTTAATTTCTCATACTTACCATCGATATATGAAAACCACAATGGAAAGAACTGTGATGTGGAAGGGACGACTGTAGTTGCAGTTCTCGAAGTTCGTGGCTCGTGGTGCGCTTGGAATTCAGATCGTAAGCTCTGGACTCAGAGTCAGAATCTTCATTTTGCTACTTAGTGTGTCAAGGACCTTGGATCCCTCCCCCCACTTCGTTTCCCCATGTGCAAAATACGAGTTTTGGAATAGATGATTGCTCCAACCTTTTCTAGCTCTAATAAGAATGATAACAATAAGAGTTATTGTTATAGCTAACATTTACATGATGCTTTCTGTGTGCCCAGCATTGTGATTTGTGCTTTGCAATTATTACCTCATTTGATCCTCACAACAATTCTCCCTGATTTACGGATGAGGAAACTTGGAAAATGGAGGTTAAGTGACTTACTCAGGGTCATGAAAGTGGTAATTATGAGAGTCTTTATTTGAACTCAGATATTCTTGATTGAAGGTACAGTGATCTGTCTAGAGTCATTTAACCATCCATCCATCCATCTATCTATCTATCTATCTACCTATCTATCTATCTATCTAACTGTCTGTCTGTCTGTCTGTCTATCTATGTATCTATTTATCTATGTGTCTATCTATATGTCTATCTATGTATCTATCTATCTATCTATCTATCTATCTATCTATCTATCTATCTATCTATCTATCTAACTGTCTGTCTGTCTGTCTGTCTATCTATGTATCTATTTATCTATGTGTCTATCTATATGTCTATCTATGTATCTATCTATCTATCTATCTATCTGTCTGTCTGTCTGTCTGTCTGTCTATGTATCTATTTATCTATGTGTCTATCTATGTGTCTATCTATATGTCTATCTATGTATCTATCTATCTATCTATCTATCTATCTGTCTGTCTGTCTGTCTGTCTATGTATCTATTTATCTATGTGTCTATCTATGTGTCTATCTATATGTCTATCTATGTATCTATCTATCTATCTATCTGTCTGTCTGTCTGTCTGTCTGTCTGTCTATCTATGTATCTATTTATCTATGTGTCTATCTATATGTCTATCTATGTATCTATCTATCTATCTATCTATCTATCTATCTGTCTGTCTGTCTGTCTGTCTATGTATCTATTTATCTATGTGTCTATCTATGTGTCTATCTATATGTCTATCTATGTATCTATCTATATATATACAGTGTTTACAGAGTACTTTATATATCATTTATAAAGCACTATATACCTATAATGCTTCATAAACTAAAAAATTAAATAAAATAATTTTTAGATAATAAATAGTAATTTTTAAACTATCAGTTTTTAAAGTACTTCACATGTTATTTTAATATATTACTTAAATCATATATAATATGTACATATGCAGTTTACAAAGTAATTTATATAATATATATAGTTAACAAAATACTATATGTAAAAGTACTTTGCAAACTACATATAAAGTATTCTATATACATAGTTTTAACAGTACTTCATACATAATCATAATATATTACTTAAATATTATATATGTATACACAATATATATTGTAATGTATTATATATAAATATGTTATACATATATCTATCTCTCTACTATCTATCTTTCTGTCTATCCTATCTCAGTTGATCTATGCAGCAGCCTTGTCAGGTAGACCACTTTATTATCAGCATGTTACAGATGAGGAAACAGACTAATAGAGGTTACATAACTTATTTGGTGTTGCACACCTAGAAAGTGTCTGAGTCAGGATTTGCACTCAGGCCTTCCTGAATCCAAGTCTAGCATACTATCACCTATGCTATCTAGCTGCCAAATTTGGAGGAACATGATCAAGTCTACATTTGGTTCTTCAGTGATATCATCCGGTTACAACAATGATTACTGGGAAGGAAAAATAAAGACAAATATCATTCTTAACAAGAATAACCATTTGTTGTATTCCTTAATTTCTATCTTTCACATGACTTATATGTTCATTTAGGTTACAAACACACTCATGAACAGCCATAATTTGCTCACAAAATCACAGAATTTGAGAGTTGCAAGACATCTCAGTGGTCTCTTTACCCAACCTATACTCACAACCAACGCCCGTATAACAGAACCACAAAGTGGGTCTCCCTTCATTTTTTGAAGATCCCCACGGAGGGTGGACCCACGGCCTAGTTACATAAAGTATTCCATATTTGGAAGCCTCTCACTGTTAAGAAGTTCCCCTCTTGGCCTTGACATTGAGCATATATTTATTTTCTTGTCATTTCCTACCATTCTTCTTTTTTCTACACTTTGTGGCCAAGTAGGACAACTCTGGTCCCTCTACCATGTGACAACCCTTCAAATATTCAAAGGCAACTATCATGTCTGAGAGATAGAATGAAAATGTTTGTTTACATAAAATTGAAATAACCATTAGAAGAGTAACTAAGGAAAACTGGATACAGCTGGTCTTATCTCGTTTTGCTGTTAGAAGTCATAAAGTAGGATAGAGGTTAAACTTTGCTTAGAGTGCACATGCTTAATAGGCTCGTGAATAGTAACTTCTCCATTCCTGGGTAGAGCTAAGACCCCATTTTCTGAACATGCAATGTATGTAGAAGGAGGATGGACAAGTCAAGGAGTAGGTGTGTAATAGGCATGCTGGAAAGTTGTACACTCTGGAGTATTCAGCCAATGAGGAAACAGGGGAGGGACTTGGAGGCTGGGATGAGAAAGAAATAGTGAACTCTTACTTTGGTGTGTGTGCCTATTCAATGAGACACCTGCTTTTGCAACAGTGTAATAAAGACTTTTAAGTTCATCCCTCCTGAGTCTGAATGAATTATTTCTCACAATGTCCTCCCCAAGCATTGCCTTCCCCAAGCTAAATATCAACCAATCCTCAGATTACATGAAGTCAAGATCCTTTGCCATCTTCTTTGCCATCCTTCATATACTCCCCACCTTATGATTCATTATTACTCTTCACTGGAATTCAAAAAATCTAAACATCAATTATAGCCACCCATTTATTCATACAGTATTTATTGAGTATAATGTGTGAGACACCTGGGGGAAAGAAAATAATAATAAAATAATAATAATAATAATAATAATAATAATAATAATAATAATAATAATAATAATAACAATAAAAAGATGGTGTCTACTCTAAAGGAACTTATAGTCTGCAGAGAAGAGGGCAGAGAGCAAGCATTTATATAGTTCCTACTATGTGCAAGTCACGATGTTAAGAACTTTTTACAAATATTATCTCATTTAATCCTCACAACAAATTTGTATGGTAGGTGCTGTTATTACCTCTATCTTACAGTTGAGTAAATTGAGGCAAACAGAAGTTATATATAACTTGTTCACTGTCATACAACTTGTAAATGTCAGAGGTAGAATTTGAATGCAGATCTTCCTGACAGAAGGCTCAGCACTTCATCCACAGAGCCACCAACTGCTTCAGTAAAACAACATGAATGTTTCTTTTTTACGTCAATAATGAAAATAATAGTAATATTAATAAACATTCATTTTCCTTTCCTTTTCCCTCCCAAATGGTCAATGATGGGGAAGGGGGGAATGCAACATGTATATTCATGAATATAATACACATGATATAACATGTATTATGAGTTGATAAGAAGGAGAAGTAATTATTGTTTGTTAAGAAATAAAGGAAAACTGCCTAGTAGAAATAATCATTGAAATTGGTCTTAAAGGATGGGAAAGACTTCAGCCAGATCCAATAGATGGAGAGATTTTTGAGGAATGCAACCAGTAGGAGCAAAGGTAGAGAGTTGAGCAAACTTAGTATAAATTCAAGGCATAGTAAGTAACCCAATTTGATGGGAAATTTTGAGTCAATGAAGGGATATAACACAATAGGTTATAACTGGATTGTAGAAGGCCTTAAATGTTAGAGTTAGCAGTTTTGACTTTATTAGGTAATGTGCAGTCATGAAAGATTATTTAGCAGCAGAGCAATATGGCGATGTGCTTGCACAATCGTAGTCATTGGGCAAGTATTTTCCTCTGTACCATTTTTCTCAGGGCCTCCTTGGTCTCCCTATTCCGTATGCTATAAATCAGGAGATTAAGAACTGGCAGCAAAAGAGTATAAAACACAGACACAATTTTGGCCCATTCTGATGGATGGTCAGAGCTGGAGCACAAATAAGTAAATATCACTGTTGCATAGAATAGAGTGACCACTGTCAGGTGAGAGGCACACGTGGAGAATGTTTTATACCTACCTTGGGGGCAAGGGATCTTCAGAATAGTGATTAAGATACTGAAATAGGAGCTAATTACTATCAGAAATGTGGTTACTGAGATTACCCCAGAGAAGATTAGGAGCAAAATTTCATTCCTCTGAACATCAGAGCAGGCTAGATGAATGAGCACTGGGGTATCACAGAAGTAATGATTAATGATATTGGGGCCACAGAAGGAAAAACTGAGCAAACTGCCCATATGTGTGAGGGAGGTCACACAGCCAAATACGTAGGAGCCAGCCACCAGGCGCAAGCAGAGGCTGGCCGTCATGGTGACTTGGTAGCGAAGGGGTCTGCAAATGGCCATGTACCGGTCATAGGCCATTGCTGCCAGAAGAAAGCATTCTGTGGTCAGGAACATGCTGAAGAGGGCGAACTGAAGGATGCAGCCGGTATAGGAGATGATTTTTCCCTCGGTTAAGAGATTCACAAGCAACTTTGGGATGCACACAGATGAATAACAGAAATCCAAGAAGGCCAAGTGACCAAGGAAAAAATATTTGGGGGAGTGAAGTTGGGAACTGGTGCCAATTAATAGGATAAGCCACAGGTTTCCTACCACAGTGATCAGATAAATCAGGAAGAAGAGCACAAATAGGGCATGCTGGAGGTGAGGACTTTCTGTAAAGCCCAAGAGGACAAACTCCACTATCCCAGTCACATTCCTCTCGGCCATATGCATCACTTTGAAATGAGGTATCTGCCAAGACAAAAAAGGAAGAGATCAAGGCAAATACACATGGAAATGGATCAGAAGTTGAGTGTTACTACTATTAATTCTTAATGATTACAAAGTGAATTACAATTATATAAAGAGAAGGGATTGAAAAGGACAGAAAGGAGGGAAGAAAGAAGGGAAAATGAAGAAATAAAGGTGGAAGTGAAGGAAGGATGGAGTAAAGGAAAGAAATGGGATTTAAAATGAGGATAATGTAAGTATATAATGTGTGTCAAACTTCAAAGCACTACATGGGGTATCCCAAAATTCTTAGTGTATTTTAGGCTATTAAAGTTTAAAGTGTTGTTGTTCAGTCACGTCCATTTCTTTGTCACCCCATTTGGGATTTTCTTGGCAAAGATACTGGAGTGATTTGCCATGTCCTTCTCCAGCTCATTTTAATAATGAGGAACTGAGGCAAATAGGATTAAGTGACTTGCCCAGGGTCATACAGCTAGTAATAAGTGTCTGAGATAAGATTTAAACTCATGAAGTCTTCCTGATTTCAAGCCCCTGTGCTCTCTATTCATTGAGCCACCTAGCTGCCTGCAGTTTAAATAAACTTTTTTTCATAAGCTTTTGCTCCCTCTCTGTCTCTGTCTCTGGCTTTCTCTATGTCTCTCTCTGTCTGTCTCTCTCTCTTTCTCTCTCTCTCCCCAACTCTGTTTCTCTCTCAGTCCTGATGACCAATTTCTCCATAGCTATCATAAACTACAACTTGTCAGACTAGAGAGAGAGTGCATTCTGGACAGTCCAAGTTTCAAAGGAAGGTACCAAATAGGCAAGTCTTTAAAGTCTAAATATTTCACCTAGCTGTCATGAAGCTGATGCTTCACACTTATTCCAGAGATTGCAGTAATATCTGCTTGTTCCTCCAAGAGCTGGTTTGATCAGTTTGCTGGCACACTTCATCTAGCACTTCATGTATATCCCTAGCAAGTCAAGATCAATCCTCTCAATGAGCCCTATCTGGTGGACCCTGGCCAATGAAGGGGGAATAGGGAAAATGGAAGAAAACATTTGGGTAAGCTCATTCACTGGTGAAAATGAATGTTACAGCTACTTTAGCTATTAAAAATGATAAATATCAAGTGTACTGAAAACCTGTGATTTACCTACATGATAAATTGGTAGCCTGGTAGTAATTTAATTTTAGGCAAGTCCCATGTATTACAGAGAAGCTGCAAAAATACCAGGGGATAATAAAACATGGAAAATACTTGTCAAACTTTGCTATGGGTGCACAAGTGTTTTCCTATATTATATGAGTACAGTTTTCTAGCTGGAACCAATTTTAAAGGTAATTTATTCCAAACCACTGAACTTAAGGTGAAACTGTGGTCAGAGACATCTCTGCACAAAGTTCAACAGATAATACTTAAAAGAGTCAGTATTTAGCCTAGTTCTTGGCACATAGTAGGACTTTAATAAATAAATTTTGATGGAAATTTTCAATTTAGGTTCTCTGGCTCCAAATCCAATATTCTTTCAATTTTTTTCTTCTTTACCATTACACTGCAAAATCAATTGAGTCACTATGGGCATTTCATTCCTCCCCCATATTGGCTAGCAGATAACTAATTTCTGGGTTCTCTTCTACCTCTCACAGTCTCTGGTTCAGTTCTTTCTTCTTTGGTGTCAGAGGGAAACTTCTCATCCTGAACAAGAATCTAGAAATAAGCATACCTCAGTCTTCAGAGACACTTTATGTAGGTATCCTCATTGATTGTTCCCAACATATCTCAACTTCATCCTTCTTTACCCCACTTCTCCATCTCCCTACCACCAGATTTCTGAATAATCTTCAGGGAAGCATAGATTTACATGTTCCCCATTTCTATTTTACCAACTACAGGGTCAAATTTGCCTACATGATAAAGTAGTAGAATTGAGATCTTAAAAGTAGTCAGTCCCATGATCACACTTCTGGAGAAATAAACTGAGTACCAGACAGAATTGCCTCAAATTAAGAAAGCAAAACTTTGTAGCAGTTCTGTGAACATATCCTGAAAAGTCCTAGTTCCCACACCAGCTGTCATTCTACTCCATCAATTGAATTTAATAAAGTCAACATAATGTAAAGATAAAATAGCTGTGAATGTAAAGGAACCAAAACAATTCTTAATGGTACAAGTAAGTCCTGAGAGGCCACAGGGCTTTAGCAACCATCATCAATTCACTTTAATTAGACTGGTATATTTCCCTTTCTATGTGAAAGACTCTGAACCAGGTGCTTGAGCTACAAAGAAAGGAGAAACAATCCATAGGCTCAAGGAACTTCTTTGATAATGGAATCAGCCTGGCAAAGTAATTATGGTGGATTACTTCATGTGTCCAGTGATTTTGATTCCACATTGAAAAAAAAGGTCTTCTGGAAGGACCAACTACAAATAATGATTGTTTTATTGGACCCAAATCAATTTATTGTAATTTGTTCCAATTAATCAATTCTTTAGTTCCTACTGTATGCAAAACCCCTACATAGCACAGAGAATGCAGATATAAAACAATGACACAATCCCTAACTCCTGACATACAGGAACTGCTATTCATTTCGAGGGAGAGAAGATTACATAGAATCATCCACCATGAAGTTGTAAAGGACCACAGAAGCTGTATAATCCAAGCCTTTATTTTATTGATAATAAGGGCTCATCTAGCATTTATCCAACCAGGAGTAGCCAAAGGTAACATATTATCCTTTTCACATCTCTTTCATGATTATGAAACTATTCCTTTTTTTTTTTTTGGCTAAGCAATGGGATTAAGTGACTTGCCCAGGGTCACATAGCTAGGAACTATTCCTTAAAGAACAATGATGTAAATTAGTCAACTAAAAGATAGGGCCCAATAGGGTCAAATATGAGACTTAAAAAAATAACAGCATTTGAGAATCTCAGCTTCACCGAGTGGGGTTGGGAACGATATTCACAGAGAAGGGAGCACCTAAGCTGTACTTTGTAAACATCCATCATGTGAAGGACTTGAGATGCCAGGTTGAGTCACTTTTCTTTGTTCAAAAGGGAACATTTGGTCCACAAAGACTTTGTTAAGGGAGTGGCCCTCTCAGGCCTGTTTCTTAAGATAATTATTTTGGCAGTTATATGGACAATGGATTGTGAGCAGTGAGGGGGAAACTGGAGGCACAGGGGTGTTAGGAGGCTGCTCGCATTGTATAGGTGAAAGGTCAGGACTAATTGAGCTACAGTGTCAACCTGAATTTTAATGAAAGCAATCAATACAACAACATTGATGTCTTAAATTGGGGCAAGTGAGTTTCAGACCAGGGTGCCACACAGCAAATGCTAGAGTACCCGAGGTGGAGGTTTGGAATAGGGTTTATTTAGCATACTAAGGCTGAAAGAATGACCCAGCTGCAGGTGGAAGGGGTTAGGTGTTTCACCTAACTTTCACCAGATGAGTTGTTTTGCATAACAAGCAAAAATCCATAAAGAAAGCTTGGGAATCTAGGAAGGAAAGAGTTTGGAAGATTGCAGAGGTTGGGGTGAATTACATCTGCTAAGCCCCAGGAAACTCATTGACCTAGGAGGAAACATGGACAGGTACAGTCAGTTCTCAGTCAACTCTCTTTGTCAAAAGGTAATTTTGTCGTGGATATAAATGACGGATGTAAGGGAATTTGTGGGTATCACATCACATATTCAAGGGGTGAGATTCTGTTTCTCTCTCTCTCTTTCTCTCTCTTTTTCTTAGCAGAGAGATTGGCACACAGTTGGGCTTCAAATAAAAGTTTTTAGATTGGCTGATTGAAGAGGGAAGAACAGAAACTGACTTCATAGTTTGGGTGTGGGGAGAAGGGTTGTACCATATACAGAAATATGCAAGCTGGGAGGAAGTGATGATGTAAAGGAAAGAAAGTTCAAACATTTAGCCTAAAACATGGACTAGTACTATAAGAAGACAAATCCTGATGGCAGAAAGTGATAAGTGGTGAAACCCAGCTCAGATCCCATAGACTTTATTTTTAGAATCATGCCATGAAGTGGACAGCCTTTTCTGGGTCCTCCATTGGTAGCCATACCATTTCGAGGGGCCGAGAGGAGCTTCCCTGTAGCTGGGTGAATTGCTTATTTGTGGATTTGTAAATGAACAAGGTACAGAGTCACATAGAATGGACATGTACGAGTGTACTGTCATTTGCATTCTGGAGGGAGCATATACTTAATTGAGACAGCAAATTCATAGAATTATTAAGTAAGACATAAAGCTTAGAAGCTCATGTTTATTAGGGCAATGTCTTTCTTTGTTATAGCCACTAAGGAACTTGTCCCTAGTGAGTTTGAAGGAAGAGATAAGACATTTGACTGTATCCAAATATTAACAATAAATAAGTTCTAAACATTTTAGGACATAAAGACATCAACCTCAATCATGCTAATATTCTAATTTAATATTTACTATTATATTTAATGTTAATATTTTCTCTTGTATTTTCGGGCTCCTAAGACTTTTACTAAGGATTATATAAAAACAGTAATAACATGGAGTTCATTAAGCTTAAAAAATATTAGTATGGGAAATCATGCTAAAATGCCTCAATGAAACAATAATATTATTATTAATAATAATATATTTTACCATTTGTATAGTTTTAAAATTTTATTCAAAGAATGTTCGAATTCAATAAGGCCCCCATTCATGCAAAACAACAAATGTATAGACATGTGGAGAAAACCCTATCCCATCCAAATGTCTAACAAGGCAAACTCAAAGAGTTCCAAAAATTTTATTGCAATTTTAAACAAAATTGTATCCTAAGACTTGTTGGAAACTCTATATAATTGACTTGATTTGTGCTTGAAATATTTCTGAATAGACTGACTAATCTCAGATAACCTCTGATAACAAACCCAAGAGAGATATTTATAGCAATTTCGTCCAAACCTGGGACATAGAACACCTACCTGTTGCTGAGACTGAGCCTTCCTTCCTGGTCT